GAATCATCTCTACGTTGTTGGACGATTCTACCAACATGTCAACCATTTGCTTGCCGATAGTTCCATTCACAACATTACCTGAAGGTGGTGAAATTCAATTAGTCATCAGTGGTAATGTTTAATAATGGGTGAAAGAATAAGAGAGCAAACAGACCTGAAAAGGACCTCAGAAGGCCATCTAATTCAGCCCTCAGGTCCCAACTGTATCATCTCTATCTAAACCATTCGATACAAGTGTTTGTATGACCTGTTCTTAAGAGCTTCCCGATAGAGAATCATATGGTAAGATTTAAACATTTCTGACTGACAGTCACAATCAGAACATCTGTGTAAAAGTATGCAGATTAATATCTAAAAATGCTATGCTTACATATGGAGAATCAATGTCAGAAGTAACTGTTAACATTTCTTTTAGAAGGAGAAAAATATCAAGTCCTAAAATATCTAAGACTTCCTTCACATTTAATAGAATGCAAAATAGGAGATTTAATTAGGAATGACACTGAGGATATGCCTAGACTGAAGTTACTCTAAGTAGTATGGAGTTTATACTGTAGTCGTAAATAGCTAGTTTTAAACCAGCAAGGCCAGGTACATGTATTAGTCCAGCTGCAGCAACAAGGAACTTAGCACAGGCTATCAATCTAAGTTTCCTTTCTTCTTTTTGTAGCCTCTGTTTTTGCAGCCTCTGTTGACCTCTATACTACCACAGGTAGACTGTTACCAGTACCTGACTGAGCAAGTTGAAATCAACCCAAAGTGTATACATACTTCCAGATCCTTCTTGCCATTTCTCTCAAGAACTTAGACATGGTATGGATATAAACATAGATATCAGCCTATAGGGAAGGAATGGCATTGTGTTTTCTTGCACAGAACCCTGGTTCCTGATCTGGACTGTAAAGGCTTATCACAGAGCAAGTAAATAATAATGCAATGTCACACACTTTCAGATTGAGTTGAGGTGACTGCAGATGAAAGTATTAGACAGAAAATCCCTTATACATAGACTGGACCTACCCAAGTGAAATCAGTTTGTTCTTTTTACAGATTAAAGTTGTTGTTGATACAAAAAGTGTCATGTGACATGCAGTATGTTACAGCTGTTAGGACACTTTAAATAAAACTACGGATGTTACCTTTTGTAGCCAGAAACCTAGTTTCAGATCTAAACAACAACTCACCTGAACCACCACAGTAGCTACATTTGTGGGAACAAAAATAACCAACTAATTAATACAGATCTAATTAATTCTTACTTGACTCTCTATCACATATAGTTTGTGAATCCTGAAGGGCCAACAGCTATTCTGGTAATAAATACATTAACATTAAAGTAATAAAAGGGAAAGAGGCAGAGATTCTACTGTGAAACACATAGGCAAGAAAAAGGCACTATTACAATATTTGCAAAATAGAGTTTCAAAATAAATTTAAAACTACCTTCCAGCATAGACAGCAGCATGACCACCATATCTTTCTGCAGATCCATTAACTCTTTCAATAATTCAATTTGACTGGAGTCCTGCAAATAAAATACACTTCAAATAGGACTATTTTGCTAAGGCATTTTTTAAGTTTCATCAGAAATGGTTTAGTTTCTTCCAATACAAGGTTAGAGAAAAACAGATCATTTTAACTGCTTAACATCTCATTCCAACCAGACTTGGAAGAGTTCCAGTGTATCTATGGTTTGAAACAAAGACTTGACATTTGGCAGGGGTCTGCTCCTGAAGTGAAAATGCCATATGTTGGAACCCACCCAAACCTAGCAAAGTGTAAACCTCTGGAAATCAGCCCTGCATTTCTTCAGAAGACATGCCCTAAAGGAATACTCTTTAAAATATCCTAATATCATATCTACAATAGGCATGCTGAAGGCTCCACAGATTTCCCTCTGCTCTAGATATACAAAGCTACCGAATGTGCTTCCAAACCCCAAGAGCTTGAGCTTTCACTTAAGACAAAGGACTCTACCAGTAAAACCCACACGGCATTAGATTTAGTCCAGTCCCAGGGATATATCTGAATTGCTTTAATAATCCTACGCACTGTTCATGGTTCTTATGGAATCACAAAAACTTAAGGTTGGAAAGGCCCTTAAGGGTCATTTACTGTGCAGTAGGTCAGACTAAGATGTATTAGCTCTAAAACCTTCCAGACAAATGCCCATCTACCTTCTTCTCTCCAGTAGGGGAGATTCCAGTTTCCCTATGCAGCTTTTCCCCTTACTGTACTCTTGCCATGGTTAGGAAGGTTTTCCTAAGATTTTTATCTAATCGTGCTTTGCAGCAGTTTAAATAAACGTACCATGTTGCATCAGCCCATTGTTTTTTCTCTTCTTTATGGCAGCCTCTCAAACTGCCATCATGTCCTGCATTAATCTCCTTTCCTCCAGACTAAACACACCTAGTTCTCTAAACCTGTCTTGTATGTTTTTTATTTCAGCCTCTTCATCACCTTTGCTGCTTTCTGTTGGATTCTCTCCAGTTTTTCAACCTCTTTCTTAAAATGCAGAGCCTAAAACTAGTCTTCTTATTTTCTGTTATTAACAATCAAAGCCTCATAACACTTTCATAACAGGCAGGGAAAGAATCGTTCTCTCATTTTATATAAGGTATAACTGAGAGACTCTACAAGGTCATCTCAAACAAAAGTGAGACTGTAAACTTGTTGTTATTGTAAACTCAAGCCTCACCCACAGCAACAATGATCAATGTGCCAAATGCATGTGTGTGGCTTTTTTGTATGCAGCCACAAGATTGTTTTTCCATCCTGAAACAGGAAGGAAATCCAGAAATCACAGCTGTCAATTTTACATTACTGCATGGCAAACAGATGGCAAAAGTTTGTGTCAAACACCTCTTGAGTAGCTGGTCCACATATAGAATAAAGGGATGCCACTGGTCTCTATCACCCCTTTAACTGAACCACAGCCACCTTGCCTCATTCAGTGCAAAGAATGGACAAACAACACATGAAGCAGGAGTTTATAATAAGACAAAATATGCCTTCTAGTCATTAAGGAACTAGGCTGGGATCAGGGAGGATTTTATTCCTGTCACTGCCAAAGTACACCCACATGATATCAAAGAAGCAGATTTTTTCAGATTTTTTCATTCCTAAACTAGGAATTTCTGGTAACCCTGGTAACTTATGAGTTATTTGTAATTCTTATTTCTATACTTTTTGTGCTGTTCCGTTTATGAATATGGGAAAGCTGCATTCACTACAATACCACCTGTTGTGAAAATATCCCATTTCACCAGGCATGAAAAATATATGTAATACTAATAATAAGGTCAGCAGAACTCAGAAATCAACCACCACTCAACAATCAAGTCCTAGAGGCGAGGGAAAAATCATTCAAGAGAGACAACTTTCTAATGAGTGCAATGCTTAATTAGGTATTTAAATCATAATAAAAACAAATGACTAAAACATCAAAACTTGACACTTCTCAGTGCTGTACTACTTAAATGATTAAACAATAATGTTAACAAAAATAATTTGCAGTTGTCTGGTACACTTCCTCTGAGGAAACTGTTTTAGAAATTATTTAACAAATACTATCAGTTCTGCCACATCCAGGCAAGGTAAGAATCTAGATATAATTGAACTATTTTGGTGGGGAAATTAGGCACCAGAATGGTTAACTGGTTTTCCCGAAGTTACAGAGGTGTCACACATAATGTTTAAAAAAATAAGGGTTTACTTGTCTCTTCTGTGTTCGGAAACTCGGGCCAAGTCTCTAATTTGTGGTTTTTTTCAAATCAGTTGTCCCTATGTGGGCTGGCTACCCACATCCATGAGAGTTCATAGTCTAAACGTTTTATTTTGCTGTACTCCTTTAAATGTTGCACTGTTCAGTTTCCCTTCACACTTAAAAAAATAATTTTTGTCACTACAAATTACCTTCCTTAAAAAGTGATTAACATAAAAAAGAAAAAGCAAAAGAAAAAAGAGCATAATACCTGAGATAATTTCATCTGCATGTGGGCAAATACATGAAGAAAACCAACCACTGCATCCCACAGCCTGCTGTGCGCCAGACTCTGCTGATTCCCAGTGCATGGACCCTATTGTGTAGACCAGAAGAAAAGAGAACAGGGCTTATTTTTAAAAGAATTACATAAAAGAGTAAGAAAATAAAAGAGTAAGAAAAAGTAGAACAATTCAATTGCTAGTGGAGAACTGCCACAAATGCAACTGCTAAGGAAACTAAGATATACACAAGATGGCAATCTTCTTTAATAAACCATTAATCATTAATAATCAGAGCCGCAAAAATTTTTTTTTTGTTCAGCATATTTCGGTCACAGATAATATTCTATTACTTTCTCAAAATCAGATTATGGTCAACAGATACTGGATAAAAATCTTTACTAAGCAACATGAATAGAAAGGTATGGTTCAGTTGTCCGAATTTGTTGCGTGTATACACTTATATGTTGTGCATGTTCACTAATATTATGTAAACTAAAGCTATCACAATTAATTTGTATAAACACAAAAAAATAAAATATCATGAGGATTTCAGTGTGCCTAAAAATGTTCCATCTGAGTGACCATATTTCAAATACCTTCTTGCCAGAAAGAAACATTTTTAAGAGAAATTACAATCAGTCATTTGAATCTTTACTTCTTTCTCATACAAACAGAAGTCCTTTATGTCCACAGAGTTACTCCCAATTCACAGTGTAAACAGAACCTGACTTTAGCTTTGGAAGCATCAATTTACAGGATAATTTCTTATGACAAATAAGCAAACAAAACTACGTATGTTTTTTAAAACCACTCCTTGGCTGATTAATAGAGTTATTATTTCATTTAAGCTGTGGACAAAAGTTACGCACAAACTGGTTTAAGTGATCAGAAACTGGTTTAAACCTGTAACAGAACAGAAGTCAAGTGCACATAAACTAGTTTCAAAATGGCTGAAACTGGTTTAAGATAAACCTGTTTGAATGTAGTATCAGACTTAACTAATTTAGATCAAACTTCTGTCCCAGACCTCTTCTTGGTTCAAATTAAATCAACCCCTACCCCCAGCATCCCAGCATGCTTTGCAGCCCTGGGCTGGGCTGGGCTATGTTGACTCCTCCAGAGGGGAAGGCTGTCCCCACCCCTCTGCTCCCTAGCTGGAACAGTGAGGGCTGACTCACTGGCCGGCTTACTGCCTTACCCCCAACCCCAGGCAAACCCCTGCTGGGGTCAGGGGCCAGGGGGGAGGGTTAAACTCCCATTCCCCCAAGTACAGAACTGTCCTGCTCTGCTTGCTTACTGCTGACTGCAGCTGTGGACTACAAATTCCAGAGGCACCTAGAAGCAGGAAGAGGAAGTGATGAGGAACCCAGCAGAGTCCTGCTACTATGACTGCGGACTGCAAATCCCAGAGATCTCAGGGGTAGCAGGAAGAGGAAGCGAACACACAGTCAGGCTGTGTTTATAGTGCTTCAGAGAAAGAACTATTCTTAGTCAAGCTTTTATGAAACAATGCCACCACCTTTTTTCGTACCCACTGCCCACCTCAGCCTGGCAGCCCTCCCCTTGCCCCTTGAACAGAGAAGTAGGGAAAAGTCCTGGAGGGCTTCTCTCTTCCCTTCCCTTTAGCAGCAGCCTAGACATATGGCTTCATTTCCTCAATCAAAAGTAACTGCCTGCTTTTTTACTTATTGTTTCAATCTTTGTAGCTTAGCCTAACCTGCAAAGACTGAATCAATTCAGCCTCAGGCTTTTTGACTGTCTGTACTTAGCCTTATTGCAGTTTTAAACAGTAAACATTTTTTACTTGAATCTTAGCTTCCATAATCAAAACATGAAATAATTTTTAAAATGAAAGTCTCAATTGTATATAGAACTATTCAATAGTGTAACAGGATTTTCTTCTCACCTTCTTAAAAAGACGTAGCAATATACAATGAAAATTACACTGAAAACTTGTTATTAAAACTGTAAAAGCCAAACACTCAAAACAGTTAGGGAATACCCAAATCAAAGCTTTTCCACTGGACCTCTGCTTAATTTGGTACACAGAATGAATGGTTCTCAGGGAATGAGATACAATTCAATATCCTTGACTTCATTCAATGTATGACTCCTTTATTTGCTGCACACCTTCCAGGCCCTGCCCTGAATACAGAATTATTAGTTTCCTCCTGTGTTCGTCAATAGTGCTCATCATGTCTTGTCAGCAGCAGCAGCTTATTTACTGTGAAGGGAGCACAGGTCAAACATGTCTTTGTAGATCTCAGACATGGCAGTATGGCATAGGTATTTCAAGAAGGCTACTAATATGATGTTCCACAATACCTTTAGTTTTCAGGAGGATTAAAAGTGATTAGGTTAAGTAGGATTCTTTGCCGTAGTCTACTCTTGAGATGGCAAAACCTAAATTATGGAAGTGAGGTCCTATGGAAAAGAAATGGATACAACCTATTATTGGATGTAAAAGGAAAAGAGAATTCTTGGCTACAAAAAGAAGGGGTGATAATTCAGTGATAACTGAGTATCCGTCTAGCCTTCTCAGGCTGCAAAAAAAGTAATGACGGCTTCATTTATTTCAAAACTTCATTCTCATACTAGTATGCAAACATTGGTAAGCTCCTTAGTACAACTATAAAGATACTTACATAATTCCCCTGTGCTAAAACAATGATTATCTTCATAATTTCACGAAAATGACAATGTAAACAATTTACCTGAATATACTCTGTGAGAGTATTAAAGACCTGTTTTGCAACTTGAATTGCTTTGGAGAAATTACGTTGTCCTTGCTCATCAATAACATCCTTCCCAGAATAATACCAGTAGAAAT